TCTGGATCGCCATGGCCGTGATGTCCATCGTGGCGCTGCAGATCGCCTCCACCACCGGCCTCTTCGTCTACTTCACCATGTCCATTTCCAAGGTGGGTGTGCGTGTGCGCGTGTGACATCAGTGTGGGTGGGTGTGGCAGGTGTGGGTGTGTGAGAGATCTGGGTGGGTGGGTTGGTTTGCATGCGTGCGTGTGAGAGAGAGATCACTGTGGGTGTGAGACAGGTGTGTGTGTGGATGTGACAGTGTGGGTGTGTGTGACGGGTGTAGGTGTGTAAGAGACACACACATAGATCTGTGTGGGTGTGTATGGCATCTACGTGTGTGTGCGTGTGACAGAAATGTGTGTATGAGACGTGTGTGTGTGTGTGTGACAGTGTGGGAGTGTGTGATGGGGTGAGACAGATCTTTGTGTGACAGATGTGTGTGTGTGCATGTGAGAGATCTGTGTGCGTATGAGACAGGTGTGTGTGTTTGTGTGTATATGACATCTGTGGGGGGGTGATGGGTGTATGTGTAAGACACACACACACAGATCTGTGGATGTGACAGGGCTTGTGTGTGTGTGACATCTATGTGTGTGTGAGACAGGTGTTCATGAGACATGCGTGTATGAGATTTTGTGTGTGAGAGAGAGATCCGTGTGGGTGTGAGACAGGTGTGTGCGTGACATCAGTGTAGGGGGGTGTGATGGGTGTGTATGAGAGATGCACATAGATCTGTGTGGATGTGATGGGCTGTGTGTGACATCTCTGTGTGTTTGTGAAACAGGTGTGTATGAGACAGGTGTGTGTGAGAGAGAGAGCGAGCGGGGTGCGAGCAGCTGCACTGTCTGAGCTCTTGGGGATGCTGCCGGTCCTGGATGTGAGCGGCGCCGCTCGCAGGGGCGCTGCAGACACAGCCCTGGGCCAGGGCAGGGGGCAGACACTGCTGGACTTTCCCTGTAGAGGAAAATGAAAGCAGAGGGTGCCAGGGCCTCATCTCCTTTACAGGGAAGGGAAGGGTGCAGGGAGCCTGCAGGCGGGAGCCAGCTCTGGCTCTGGGCTTCCCTAGAGCAGTTCAAAACAGCCTAGATGGCTCTGGCATGCACAGAGGTGCTACGGTGTCCCCTTGGCAGCTTGGCCCAGGAAAGTCTCCATCCTATCTCCCTGCTGGAGCCAGGGTATTTTACAACCCCTCCCCCACCCCACAAATGAAAGGGGCTGTGCGGGGTGGGGGTCAGTATTGCCCTACAGTCGGAGGAATCTCTCTGAAAGACCGTAAGACCCAGCTCTGTGTACAAAGTGCCTTTCATGATGAGAGAGGAATGACCCTATTGCCTCTGCCTGGGAATTGAGATGGGCAGATCTGTTGAGCAGCAGCCAGAAAGAGCAGGGGGACTGGGGGATGCAGCTCTTCCCAGACAAGACTAAGTTTAGGATTTGGTGCCCAGATGCTGTAGTGAGGCAGGGCCAGCAGGAAGACTAGACAATGGTTCTCAGGCTCAGGGGACTCCTAAGTAAATTAGAAGCATTTGACGTCCTCCATCACTTCTATGAACTGAGTGGCACCCAGCTTCAAAAACCAATTAATATATAATAGTGTTTACAAAGGGGCTGGGCAGTGGGAGCAGGGACTAAGTCTGAGACTGGATTTACCTCTTTATATCTCCCTTATCTCCTCACATCTCCAATCTCAAGGGACCCCAGGTGAGACTCACTGGACTAGAAAAATGGGCCAGAAGTGACCAGTGAAGTGCATTGTACATGTTGGTTGGAACATCACCTCTTGGGTAGAGCTACTCTTGGAACTAGTGGCTGGGTCTGGTATGGCAAGACTCAGGTTACCAACTAGGGTCATGTGTAGACGAAACGGGGAATTTGTGCATGACACTTTAAAGCAGGTTAAATGCTTTTGCACTGCTTTAATGGTGTTGGTGTTAATGGTGTTGGTGTTTGCACGCAATGGTGGTGTATTGCACAGTAATTCCAGCTACTGTAGCAAATGCGGTGGTATAATGCGCCTTAAATGACTTGGGGCACAGCAAACTAAAAGTCCTCCAAGGAGTTTTAGTTTGCTGCCCTACAGCTGTGGAGCAAAGCACCAGGCTCCGTGCAGCTCAGGGGCTCTGCAGGAAGCCCGTGCAGGCAGCCTGGCAGCAGCCTGGGAAGGCAGGCTCTGCCCAAGAAAGAAAAAAAAAACGGGAGCTTGATTTCCCACCCCCCAGAGCCTGCCTGTCTGAGCTGTGCAGGAGCCTAGTGCTTCCCTCGGCAGCTGCAGTAACCCCCTGCGACTACCCGAGCCGCAGCACTGCAGGCAAGTGCTGCCGCGGAGGGAAGCACCAGCACCCCCGCAGCCCAGGGACCACTTCCCCTGCCA